GGGGCATRGGGATGACACAAGCTCCTCCAGATCACATTCTGAACTTTGTAATTCTGAATCCCTAAACTTGCATAAAAATAGCAAAAGATTGTCAGAGAAGCACGACAAACTTTTAGAGATCTTGATTTTTTAGCATTCTCTCAATTGCTGGCAGCCTTTAAGGAATTGCTTTAGGAGCCAATAGTCTCAAGTCTCAACCACAGTTACCTTATTTTCAGGAAGCTGCACTACTTATCAGTAGGACAAATTCATGATGTAAAAGGGTGCAGGGGGTGATATCAGCCACAAGGTTTCTTTTCTCAGGAACAGTCCTTCATTAACAACACAAATTTCGTTCAGTAAAACTCAATTTACCATAATCCATGTTTTTGGGTACCCATACAGTCAAATAACAGAATGAACACTGGGTACTCTTAGTACCTAAAACTGGAGGGCTTTCATCTATGGTTTGGTGTATTTTCATTAAAATTTTTGCAATGTGTGAGAGAACGGGGAGAGAATTCACTTGGTTGGGATTTTTTTACTTCTGATCATCTTTTAAATGTGACAGACAGCAGAAGCTGGTTGGTTTAATGACCTAGTTGCATCACAGAACATAGAGGACAATACAAAGACTTCTCTTTCCCCAACAGCAATTGGTAAAAGGCCCATAGAAAACTTGGCTGGAGAGAGCCTATAAAGGGAATATGGAAACTCCTGCAAAAAAAATAAGAAATGAAAAACAAACAAAACAATCCTAAACCCAGCTACAGAGACACTCCTTAAACTGGAAAAACCTGCTTTCCTGATAGCAAAATAATAAACAAATGGCTATTTATTAGTGGGTAATTTATATATATATATATATATATATATATATATATATATATATATATACACACACACATAATACTATATATGTATGTAAAAAGCTTGCAAAGTTAACACCTTTATTCCTGAAACATTTAACAACAATGACACAAAATCTGGGGGGTTTTCTACATAGCAAAGTAGTGCTTAGTAGCTGTTGCTCAACAGTATTTCCTAGGTGGATCCCTTCACTGTGTTAAAAATATCCGTATTGGTATTCTTTGGGCAAGATTAAGGTAAAGTGGAAAAAAAAGGTTAATTTCAAAGGTCAGAATAATAATGTTCTCATAAGGAATAAATGCAGAAAGCTGCTGCTTTTAAAATTCTTAATATTTACACTTTCACATTGAATTCTCTGCACATACAGCTATCCAAAGGTCAGCCACAATACGTATGTGTGAATCCACAGCTTCTGTGCACAGAGCTGGATGTGGTAAAGAYGCACTGTGTTGAGCAACCCAAGAAAAAAATAGTGTTTAAAGGTTGCCACTGACCCTGGCAGAAGGGAGCAAYAGCCCAAGCTACCGAGGGCACAAAGATCTTTGGGGAGGACTTGATCTACTGAATGATCTACTTTACAAAATGTCTGAAGACTTCAGCTATGCTCAGAACCATCTTTGGCTCTCCAAAGACCTATTGTAGGGAGAAATGTTACAATACCACACAATACGTTTGTTGGGAAACTGGGTCATAAAACACCCTATTGTAAAGACAATGAGCAAAATAGAAAATGAAACATGGCCTAAGAATCTTCACTAGGAATATTCTGTATTTTGGCCAAGAATTACAGTGTAGAAGTACCATCCCAACAACAGAAAAGGAGTTGTAATGGCTGCCTACAGTAATTATGGAGACACTTTCACTACATGCTATAATACAGAGCAGTGATTTATGCAGAGACTGGAATAGCACTCTAGATTTTTCAACTCCTTGTCAAGTAACATACTCCAAAGCATTAGACCACTGCCTTCTGCAAAAGCTTTTTGAAGCTGTTGCTTCCATGCTCCATACTCTTCTTGCATCTTCCTGTCTTACCTTTCCTGATTAATTTCCGATTAGTATCTGCCTCAGAGGTTACTGGGCAAATTTTGGAAAGATCAGAGAATTTCTATGCTATATCAGCAGCATATTTTAGCTGCAAATGSTCTTTAGTAGATCCTTGGAAGATTATGTATTTGAGAGTAATCCTCCAATGGCAGAGCGGTAGTCCTGAAGGCACTGTGCTGGGAAAAGCAGTAGAACAAGACCGTCAAAGAATTAGCCCAAAAGCTCATTCCATGAATTTTTATTTTACTGGAGATTTCAGAGTATCTGGCTTTATTCATTAACATCAACTGGTCTACTAATATCTCTAGCTCAAATATTTTAAAGTTCTTGGCAATAAAGCTGTGATAGAGCAATTCTGCTGATCTTCTTTCTTTCTTAGGGTTTTTCCTTTACTTCTGTCCAGAATGTCTCCCAGGACTTTGTTCATGAAAAAAAGCTTTATAAAATGTTGTAATTTTTTCATGTTTACACTTGTGATCCAGATCTACTTATTTTCCCACAGAAATAATGTAGAAGAGGGGAAAACAAATGTCCCATATAGGCTGTTTCGGAGATGTGACCTTTTTCAATCCACCGGAATTCACTCTTCCAATATGCATTCCCACAGTGCCTTCAAACCTCACTTGAAGCTAAGGGTTTTCCAGCAACTATGTGGTATGAATAATACATTTGTCAGATGTGGTTTATTTTTCCCCTTTCCTCCAAAGGCAGTTGAAGTTGTGGAGGGGCGGGGGAAGATCTGTTTCTAATGCAGTTGTATTAGAGAAGGCAAAGTTCAAAGAGTGTTATCTTGCACTTACCTCAAAGGTATCAAGTTTTACAAGGGCCCTCAGTTCCTTCCCCCCAGCTCCCGCCCCCCTGAGATCTGAGAAAAAGCTCCCAGATTTGAAGAATCACAGTAACTCTAGAGCTACATGGCATTATTTGTTTCACTGTTGTTAATCCTGCACGGATTGCACAGCCTGTTTTACAAAAACTACAGACAAACACTACTGTACTCAGATCTGCTTTTATTTATGCTCTGAAACATAAAAGCTCAAAAAAAGCTTACTCAAGAGAATTTTGCACACTGCTAGGTGCAGGTCTGCAGTTCTRCAGAAAAAAGAAATGTGTCAAGGAGAATGTCAAAGACTCGTCCCTCAGGAGCACTCATTTGTTTTTGGAATTTTCATCTGTACTGAGCATCCCCTCCTAGTATGCTATTTTAGGAGTGTTTTAAGCTTTGTTCAGGTGTGTTCATCCCCACAACAATGCAAAAACTTTTAACTAGCTACAGTGAGATCAGACTGCCTTTTGACCTGGTCAGTAAATGTTTACAAGTCTCATTTTTAGGCAAGGAAAGTAAACTTAAGGCAGACCTTGTATGTCATCCTCAGCTGCAACAATTTACAGCTCCGCATCAACGAAATCATAGTCAAATTACATGCTTTTGTCAGTATCTGGACAGGGTCAGCACGATTTGTTCCCCAGTGTACAATTAGCCAGATGTATCTTGTTTGTTTAGCAGGAGAAAAACAAGCCAAATTTGTTAGGCTATCTGGAAGCCAACATCATCCAGAGCAGGTCTGGATTCCAAGGTTAATAAGAAAAACCCATCTTCTGGAACATGTAGCTTTGTTCTTGCTTACATGCTTGGTGTCAAATTGACCACCAAACCTGGGATCAGAAAGCAATTCTACATTTTAATCTGGGCTCAGGTAAGCCATTACTTCCTAGAGAATGGCACTCCTTTAGGAACACAGAGCACTTAATAGACTTCCCATAATTGCAGGCAATCTGAGTAACAATAGTCTCATCCGTTGTGGCACACTGTTCTAGAGACTTAAATACTCTGGTCTTTGTTTTATTTGAAAGTGAAATATGCTCAGTAAAAGTGTGAAATTTAACCACTTGCCGTATCAGAAGATGTCACTAGAAATATCTTTCTGGTTCCCCTTGACATGAATTCCCCTTGGCTGTGAAATGACAGCAGATTCTGCAGGTGAAGAACCAGGCCTCATCGAAATCACAGAAAAACCCGCATCAGGGCACAACTTCATGCTACAAACTGAACAGATACTATCCTCCTAGGCAGAAATTCATCAAATATTTAGGAAATTACAGACACTATGACTTTGCAGAGCCAATCTGGTAATCTGGAGACCTGATGCACAAGAGAGTGTGAAAGCAAATGAAAACAGCAGGACACTCTTTCCCTTTTGAAAGAGCTTAGAGCAAATTACACTACTCCTAATTAAAAGCTGGTTTTGATTACAGGAGCATAGAAATTGCAAACAAAAACCTTTATATTCTAGTCAATTTTACGATTCAAAAACTTTAAAAGCCGCAGCTGTTTTGTTCTTTGTTGCTGTTTGCAGAGGGGAGGCGACACCARCGCTTGGAGTTTGGGTGCTGTTTTGGGGCGGGGGGGAGGAAGCTCTTTGTTCCTTTATTTCAGCCAGCCCAAGTTCCGAGGCGAAGTTCTCCGCACCACACAACCACCAGGCTCCGCGAACACGCTGCGGCACAAGCGCGGCCGAGCCTCCAACTTCGCCCTGCAAGTGCTCCCTCTCTCTGGAGCATCCGGGCTCCGGCAGCTCGCCCGCAGCCGGCCGGACACCGCCGGGCGACCGGGAGATCAGAGCGGGGAAACAGCAGGCACGACCCGCTTTCTCCATGCAAACCAGCTCCCACCGCCGGCCCAACACAGCCAGGGGACTGCGGGCGCGCAGCCCGCCCTGAAAGCCGAGGTGGCCGCGGTCCACGCGCTCTGGGGGCTAAAAAAAAAATCAAAACTCCAACAAAAAAAAACAAAAAACAACCAAACAAACAAAAAGTCAGAACCACCACAGAGATCCGCGAAGTCGGCAGAAGCGGAGCCGTGAAGCTCGTTCCCTGTCAGCCATTTTAGAAGCGTGAGCCGATGGGGCGGCGAGGCGCACCGCTGTGCAGCCTTCCCCCGGCCCATCCGCGGTCATCGCCGCGGGCAAGGGGCGCACAAAGCACTGCACCGGCCCCGCCGCGCTCCCTCCCCGGGCAGCCCCGCCGAGCGGAGCGGAGCAGAGCGGAGCGCCTGGCGACGCCGGGCTGGCCCCGGAGGGTCGCTCCCTCCCCGCCACCCTCACCTTGGCGTCCGGCGGTAGGATCAGCACCTGGCTGTTGTCCTCCTCCTTCTTCGCCGCCTCCTTCTGCGCCAACGCGGAGTTGAACGACACCTTCACCATGGCCGGTCCTCAGCGCCCCGCACGCAGGAGAAAGGACGAGAAGCAGCCCGGACTGGCGGATCTCCGCGGGCCGCTTCCTGCCTTTGCAACCTCCCCCGCTGCTGCCGCGCCGCGACTGCCGCCCCCGTCCCCTTGTCAGGCGGCTGAGGAGGAGGAGCAGGAGGAGGAGGAGGAGAAGGAGAGGAGAAGGCGGTGCCTGACAGGGCGGGCGGAAAGAGGGGAGATGGTGGCAGCGGGGCCTCGCCCTCCGCCCACTGCCTGTCCCGGCGTGGAGGGGGGGGGGTCTCCGGCCGGACGGGTGCCCGCAGGAGCGGAGMGGCCGCCGCTCCGTCGGTGTCTGGCAATGCACCGGGTGGAATCGCGCTGCCTTCGGGGGAGACCACSCTCGGGGGCCCGTTCCCTCTCATCCCCGGGCTTAGTTTCTCTGCATGGAGGAGCCCAGGGCGGACGCGGTGCTGGCGCTGTGCTTCCCGGGGGCACAACTGGCACAGGCAGTTCGCCTCACCCGGGGCTGTGCCATGTTTTCTCTGGTTGCCATTTTAATTAGGGGTTTGTTGCTAAGTGAAAAATTTGGCGTCTTATGTTCGTGCAGAAAATACCCAACATGCTATATAGGCAGCCTGGAGGTGAAATCCACCAGTTGTTAAACCTTTGGGGAAGGATACGAGCAGCAACGGGGAAGTGGAGGTGTGACCTTCCCCCTAATCTCCGGTGCGGTATGGTAAGAATTCGGTGAACTCAGCACACCATCCGAGTAGGGTGCTCTCCAGTAACACTATGTGATGCACATACTCGAATTTACATTGTGGATATGGTTGTAGTCTGCTCCAAGAAGTTCATTTTGGTGACTCATCTGGGTAGAGTTGATTTCCTGGCAAGAGTTTGGCAGAGTAGTGCTTCTGTCACTCTCCGTGAGACGCCAGGCAAGCAAAATGCAGTCCTTAAATTCAGCGGGTGCTCTGCTGCTGACTTAGTCAAAATCTGGTCTTTCTCCCTAGAGTCATAGATGGCACCAGGACGGAATGGTCATCGTATGCTATCTTGTGAATTGTCATCTTATGCTATGTACCTTGCTATCAATGTCCTTTAAAATTGTTGACCTAAAATGCCTAACAGAAAAGCTAACTTAACCTGCTTCATCCTATCATCCTAAAATATTTAAAGATCTATGAATAATCTGAGATATTTTTTTTAAATGAAGATATAAAGTTCACAAAGCAAATTGTAATTTTACATGATCTCAAGATAAAACAGCTGATGACTCAGCTTGCACCCAAGACTGTAAATTGCCCAGATATTCCAATTCAGTCTAACTGCCTTAAAATTCAACAGAGGTTGACTGAATTATTTGGAGATATTTCACTGAAGTAGAAAATGTCATGGACTCTAAGGAAGACAAAATACAGAGATTTCTCCAGGCACTTTCTGACCATATTTGGTATGACCCTGGAGGGTTTTCTTTAGTAGGAACTTCCATTAAAAGTTTTTGAGCATTCTACATGAAAACGATAATGTACTTTAATAAAGCKATCATAAGCTACAGTTTTCCAGGCTACTACTATAGATTTTTAATTTTTTTTTTTTTGGAGTGGGACTTTATTGTCTCACCCCCAGACTGAGAAAAGCACAGGTAGCACCTCTGCTTCCATTTCAAAGGGAATCTCCACTGTGTATTCAGCACAATATTTAGCATGCAAAGACTGTAGTTCAGAGTTTTGCTTTGCTTTGTTCTCCTTAATGACATCTTCAGATATTCCTCACAGGGAGATGGGTATGCAAAAAACAGTCAAGGCTAAGGCATGGCATCTTATTATCTATGTCAAAGTACATCTAACTCTTTCCCCAGGCAGCATACACTCTTATCTTACCGGCTCAAATATACTCTGTCTGCTTCTTGAATTATGTTTACAAACCATAGCAGCTGACTGCAGCTGGATTAGAGCAGCACCCTTACGCATTGCCAATTCTGACCTTTTTATTAGTGAAAATTCAGGATTATTTCTATTAGAGACCAAAATAAGGATAAAGCATAATGAGAACCTCGCAACTTTCTTCCTGACTGCTTTGCTTCTGTGTACTTTCAGATTATGGTTTTCACAGGCAGCTGAGCTTATAGGATGGCTCCATTCCTCAAAAAGGAAATCTTGCCTCATCTCTTCCTCCTCTTGTCCTTTGTCTTCCCTCTCATGTTACTCTTCATGCTTTCCTTCTTCCACCAGCAATTCCACCTAGTGCCTGTGCTAGATGTATGACCCATGCATATCTAAGTTTTTCTGCATTAGTTTTCTGCTGGCTTGATGAGAGACAGTTCAGAGAGACATAAGGACCAGCACCAGTGTGAACAGTGGGCCTGCGCAGCTAAGAAAGGAGAGGAAACGGGAAGTGGGGAGGAAGATCTCCCCATTTCTGCATAGATGCAAGCAGTAAACCAGGCCCCCACATCTCTCAAAACCACAGTGTTGTTTTTTTTCCTCAGGCAAGTAGGTTTATATCCAGATGGCATTTTCTCTCATGTTTCTACCCCTTTTCTTTCACATATGAGTCTTCATTTCCTTCAGTCCCCAGCCTCGCTCATCACGTATCAGATCCAAGGACCCCTCCCAGGAAGAGATGACCTACACTGTTTAGATCTGTCTGTGTCCTTGGGCACATGTTTTCCACTGTTTCAGCTGACACTAAAAAAAGGGGCAATTCATTGATTCCTTGTTTATCATGAGTGGAAAATGGCTATTACATCCATCAGGACTGGCAGCTGCTTTCTCTTTCTGCCATCCATCATAAAATGCCACAATGCTTCAAGCAGTACCTCTGCTTACCCATCTACAATTCAAAATCAGCCTACTTTCTATCTCTTACACCAGGGTTGTCAGTTTCTAATGCCTGTAATAGACATCTATAGATTCAAACATGTAAAACTGGGGCGGGGAGGGTGTTAAATATTGATATTGGCTGCCAACAAAGGACACTATTCAGAGGTGAAAAGAATGTAGTTATTTAATTTAAAGTTTCTTATACAAAGCTTTTAAATGCAACTGAAAGTGGAAAGTTCCATATGGTGTCATGGTATTTTTTAATTGTTTATGTTACTCTTCGTTTCATGTTAACTGCATAGCATTGTGATATAGTGTCTTACTTTTCTCTCAACCACTCTCCCCAGTTTTATGTCTCTCTCTATATATGCATTTATCTATCTCTGGCTAACTATGCATATCATTATCATTTCTTGGAGGAGGGGGAGTGAGGAGACAAGCAGAAGTTGGTTCTGTGACAGACATTTATTCAGCTTGCTTTCTTAGCTGGAAGTTCAAATCCATTTACACGGTTTCAAGGCTTTTCACACCATGGCTGGCTCTTTCTCTCTGCTTTATTCTCCCATCCATCTCCCTTTCTTCTCTGAACAGCCCCCTCAGATTCACCTGAGAGAAGTCTCATCTATTAGATTCTTACCCAAATGGCCCACAACCAATGTGCTGTCACAACGTCCGTTTTGTGCAATCCCCAGATTAATTCACAAGGATGTGAACTTAATCCTAGATACATTAGAACACAGGTAAGACTACAAGTTTTATTTGTAAAATTCCAATGACTAAATGGGAATGTCATTTTTATCGGGAAAATGAATTTTTTTTCCCATTGCTTAATGTGTTGATCTGGAAATTCTTTTCCAGATTGTTTTTCTTAGATGGGGGAATATGGTCTGGCAGCTTATTTTTAGCTTTGTCATGAGGTAAATCTGTTACCACCCGCAAGTCTACCTTTTCTTTAACAACTCGAAACAAAAAGAACAACCTAAATTCCTGAAGGCTAAAGCAGAAGGGAAAAGATGGCACTTACTATTTTAAACAGAATTGGATAAGAAAGGGAACATACCGAAAGCTATATGAGTCTGTTTATCAGCCTCTATATTCTTCTAAATATGCCAGAGCCTACTGAAGTTGGCAAACCAAATGGTGCATAAATCTTTGCCATTCTTTAGTTTGCAGATGATTGGGACTGCAGACTGTTGGTGTTTTCACAGAATTTTGGACCTGACATTTACAGCCAAATGTCCAAGTTTTATTAATCTCTGGTCAGTACTGTAATCTAAATCTTAGAAATAACACAATTTTCATAATCTGTCTAAAATGTAGCCACCACAACACAGCATGAAATAAGCCTGACAAATCTATTTCAGTTTGGCTTGTGCCTTCCGACACCTCAGTCATCCCTGCTGTGAATAAAGCCCTTTAGAGTGAGTGAGCTGTACCACAGCAAAGAATTATGCCATAATCCAGCAAGCTGCTTTGCATGGCCAGCTTCTACATCCACACAGAACCCTGGGGTACACCAAGATGCAGCAGCCTGCCTGACTAGATCTGCAGTTTGTCTGGTGGGAAATTGTCACATGCAATATGCAGAAATGTACCTGTGTATAAGTACCCAATTGCACACTCTTAATTCTGAAGAATTGTTTGCAACAGGAACCAGAACCTCCTTTGTTTGAAGGCAGTGGAAGGACTCTCATGCTATTCTCTTAAAGCTGCTCCTGTCAGTCTTAACTGGGTGTCATCTACTAAATGCTAGACTGCAGCCAGACAACCTTTATGTGAATTTATCAACACTTTAGTTGCTCATTAAGCATTATGATTTGGTCAGTATTTAAGAAGACTCAAATTAAAGTCCCCCATGCCCTAGGGACTTTATAATCTAAATCATATACAGAAAGAAAAAATYCTTAGGGAAGCTGAGGACACAGAATAACTTTGAAGGCTTCATTCTCTTTTTACTTAAACTTTTTTGCTTCTCTCATTTCCGTTCACAGAAATAAAAATATGTATGCAAACCCTTGTCCTCTAGTATCCTAGCAGCTGTTTCCTCCTCCTTACCAGCCCAGCAAATGCTATTTCCCCCTTTTTCACACATTAAATATCTGCTGCAAATATATTTTGTCTTTTAGGCATTATTTAGCTGATACTATTGCTCCTTTTCACTTTGACCATTAACACCCAAGACTTTCAGAACTGCTGTGTACATGTCACTAATTTACCACAGGACACCAGCTTTAGGAAATTAAAGAAATTCAGCTTGCTCCATTACAATATATCCTAGAAGACAATGTCATAGACTCAAACTTCAGTTTAGGCCTCAGGGATTTTTTGTACCTGTCTTTTTGCCTCCTTTTCTGCTGCATCAAACACA